TTTTTTTTTTTTTTAAAGAGGAAAACAACAAGTATTGCCAAGGATGTGGGGAAATTTAAGCCCTCATCTATTGCTAATGGAATTGTAAGATGGTTCAACCTCTGTGAAAAAAGTTGAGCAGTCTGTCAAAAGTTTGAATGATAGAATTACCCTACGACTTAGCAATTCTAGTCCAATGTTTATCCTGACAAGTACCGAAAAAAGTACTCACACAAATCCTTGTACATGAATGTAGCAACACTATTCTCTATAGCCCAAAGGTGAAAACAACCCAAGTATCTATCAATGTTGTCGCTGTTAGGTGTCATCTAGTAATACTGACTTGTAACAAACCTATGCACAACAAAACAAAACACTGCCCAGTCCTGGGCCAACTTCACAATCATTGCTACATTTGAACTCATTGCTGCTGCCACTGTGTCAATCCATCGCATTGGGGGTTTCCTCTTTTTCACTGTCCCTTCACTTTACCAAACACGATGTCCTTCTCCTGTGACTGATCCCTTCTGATAATATATCCAAAGTACAAGAGCCTTTGTTTGGCCAGCCTGTCTTCCAAGGATCACTCTGTCATTACATCTTCTAACACAGATCTGTTTGTTCTTTTGGCAGTCCATACTACTCTCAATATTCTTCCCCAACACCATAACTCAAGTGCATCAATTCTTCTATGGTGTTCCTTATTCACTGTCCAACTTTCACATACATATGTGGTTATTGAAAATACCCATGAATATCTACCAATTTTGTTGTTGTTGTTAGGTGCCATTGAGTCGGTACCGACCCATAGCAACCTTATGCACAGCAAAACGAAACACTGCCCGATCCTGGGCCAACCTCATTATTGTTGCCACACTTGAGTCCATCGATGCTGTCACTTAATGTAAAAACAAATGTGATGTATACAAACAATGGAATATTATTCAGTTGTAGGAAGTTCAGAATGTAATTAAGTGCTGATACATGCTATACTATAAATCTATCTCGGAAACATTGTGCTAAGTGAAAGAAACCAGACACAATAGGTCATGTATAATTATGTTTATACAAAATACTCAAAATAGGTAAATCCATATATACAGAAAGCACAACGGTTGTTTACAGGGAGTAGAGGGAAGGAAGAATGGGAGTAATGGTTTAGGGGACAAGGCTTTTAAAATTGGAGTTATAGAAATGTTTTGAAACTAGATAGTTGTTTGGTTGCAAAACATTGTGAATGTACTAAATGCCCTGAATTATTTACTTTAAAATGGATAATACTATGTTTTGCTATTTAAAAAAAAAACAACCAGGTAGACAAGATGACATTTTATGTGGCTATCTGATTCTTCTGGGATTATGAACGAAAGTGATCATGATGGTAGAAGATGAAAGCTGTACATGGTTTTGCTATTGTTAGATGCTGTCAAGTGGATTCTGACCCATCATGAAACCAGCAGAACAAAACACCACCCAGTCCTGCACCATCCTCACAATTGCTGCTACGCTTGGCACATGACTTTGAGAACATGGAATTCCACTCATTACAGGTAAAGTTGACCCTCTTGCCAACCCTGATAAGTAGATTCACATAATGCCTCATGTACTGTCATGTTTTCACACAACTATAGCTTCTGAGCAAGAAATTCATGCTCAATAACAAAAATTAATGAAAAAACTCAACAGTCAAAAGAAAGGCAGACTGAAGTTTGTTTATCCATTCTTCCATTGATAGACAATTAGACTATCTCCATGTTTCTGCTATTGTGAATAGTGCTGTGATGAACACAGGTATGCATATATCTACTTGTATCATGGCTCTTATTTCTTGGGGATATACACCAAGTAGAGGGATAAAGTCTGGAACAGAGATCACCCTCATGGCCCAAT